AAAACTGTTGATTGCATTTGTATGTAATGAAATCATCCAATATTCATCTGACTATAGAATCTAATCTGAGAAGAGAACTGAAGGACATGAGTGTCACTGCAAAACTGTAATGAGCCACTGTAGTGATTAAAAAAGCTCTTGAGCCTTCTGAAAATCCAGGCAGAAATAGCGTCTAATCAACTCTGAATATAGGAGGCGAGATTGGGCTGGCACGCTGCGCACGGCCCACCCCGGCGCCGGGGGTGCGTGGTAAACCCTGACGGCCGCGGTCTGTGGATGCCAATCGCCTGGCCACAATCAGCAGAGGCCTCAGTGCACAAAGCAATTGCTGCCTCTTGCCACGCAGAAAGAACCCAATCACAGCTGTTGTGAAGAGCAGCTTGAGGCTTCCGCACCAAAGCATAAGCCTCGCCAAAGACCTTTTTCTGGGTTCTTTGCTCCAACAGGGAGTGAGAGCTTGAGGATCTAGGACTGCACATCTGGATGCCCTGAGGTCCAGCCAGCTCCAGGCAGGGGAGAGTCAGTGTTTTTCAGGGGCCCTGGATCATCACTGAGATGTCACCTTCACCAAGAGGCATTCCCTGACTACCCTAAATTTTCACTCCCTCTCCCAATTCTCTAACCCCTTACCCTGGTTTTGTTTTCCCTCATGGTATTTATCTATATTTGGCATTATCTTATGGTTTTATCTGTTGAATGTCTGCCTCTCCCAAATAGACTGTGAGCTCCATGAGGGTAGGGACTAGACTGCATGATGGTTGGCTCACCTCTGTGGAGCATATGGAACCAGCCTTGGTACTCAGAGGATACTTGACAAGTATGGATTGAGATGCTTAAATGTTTGTTGAATGGATAAATCCACTTCAATGAGCAGCCAAATGTATTTATTTGTTCATTCAGAAAATATTTGCTGAGTGTGCAGTGTGTATGACGCTTTGTTCCTGGCAATGAGTGTGCTGTGGCAAACAAGGCAACAATCCCTGCCTTCTCAGAGCTCAGAGTCTGGGCAGAAGAGATATTAAAGACATTACACTTAATCAGACAATGCAGTGCTGGGATTACCCATAGGCAGTGGGAACAGCTGTCAGAGGAGACACCTGTGAGAGGGTAGTCCCGCCACAGGGAAGGCTGACCCAAGGTGGTGACAGGAGCTAATGGATGCGCTGGAGTCAGCAAGACCAGTAAGGTCCAGAGTGTCCTCAGCAGAAGGAACACAGTGTCAAGTGACAGGTGTGTGAGAGGAGCTGAGAGAAGCCAGTGTGGTGGAGAGGCAGGAGAGAGATGAGCGAGAAGGGGCCAGAGCAGTGTCCCAGATCATTAAGTCCTTGCATAAGAATTTTGACTTTTAAACTGGGAGCCATAGAAAGCCTCTGACAGGGAGCGGCATGGTTTGTATTTTGATGAGTTCACCAAATGGAGAAGGTATCTGGTTAGGAAGCTATTTAGCTGTGATATTCAGTCCTCCAGTAAAGCAGAGAAACTGAAAGTTTCTGAGCAGGGCCATGTCATGGCAAAGGCTACATTTTAAGATGATTGATCAGGTAGCAAGAGATGGAGCAGAGAAAGGGAAAGCAGGTAGGAGCTAGAAATCAGCCAGGTAGCCAGTCCTTGGTTTGTTCATTCCTGCATTCAGCATTTCAGACATCTCCGTGGGGGAGATGCCGCCCTTCACATTTGAATTTATGGTTTCTGATCTGCTCTGGGTTTGGACACCAAGTGGCCTGTTATTAACATGGGTTCTAAGTTGGAATCAGTAGGTTCTGAGGATCTAAAAGAACTGGATCATGAAGTTGCTTTTTTTAGCAATGGCTTTGTGACATCAAAGGGTCCTTGTGAGTCATTTGTCTTCTTTAGGTCTTTAATTATCACTACAAACAGGGAGCCAAACTATGTGATCTTTATGGCCCTTCCCTACTTCCCAAATGTTACAAACACCCTTCCAAGCCCAGTGGCTTAAAAATTCCAACATGAGGTCTGACTGGCTAAGGTGAGATTACACTGGGCAGCCAGCAAACAGAAAGCAGTGATGCTGGTGGCTCTCGCCTGAAATCCTAGCTACTCAGGAGGCAGAGATCAGGAGGATCGTGGTTCGAACCACCACAAGCAAATAGTTTGTGAGACCCTATCTACACACACAAAGGGCTCAAGGTGAAAGTCCTGACTTCAAATCCCAGTACCACAAAAAAAAAAAAAAGAAGAGAAAGAAAGAAAACAATCTGGACATCTGGATTCAAGTTCCAGCTCTGCTGCTCATTTTGGCTGTCAATGTACAAACTCTTCCCATTTTGTGCCTCATTATCCCCAGACAAGTTCCTGGAAGTGGAGTGAGCGTACACTGCCCAGTCCCTACTACACTCACCCCCATCCAACAGGTCAGACTCAAGTGCCACATCTAAACACTTACTGCCTGCTATGACTTTGAGCAAGGCTGCCAGCCTTTCTGTGTCACAGAAAGACTGTAGTTAGCTTTCCTCATCTGTTCAATGGGGGTCATAAAATCTAAGCCAGAGGGCTGGTAAGAGATAGCTTAGATAATGCAACTTGGGTAATGAGCATGGAGTGAACACTCTATAAATGGTGGCTGCCTGGGCAGGTGGACCAGGATTGATTTTGCCTTCCCTCTCCACAATGGTCCCTTTTTACCAGCAGCTAGGATTCACTGGGAGCTGACAGAATTTGGGGGTTCTTTCCTCTCTTTTCCACTGGGGTGGGTTGGGAGAACACTGCTGAGGCTCTGGTTAAAGACCCTGTCAGCAAAGCTGCCACAATGAACCAGCTAACCAGCAATGGGATGGTCCCCTGACCACACCAAATACAGCTCCTCCTCTTTCTTCTCTGAACATTTTTGCATAGCAGCTGTCCCTCTATCTCTAACAAGAAGCCTTGCTCTTAATTTCAGAAGTCCCCAGTCATTCACTTCCCCACCCCCAAGTTGATCGTGTGTAGTGGATCTGAGATGTGATCAGAGCCTTCCTGGTTTGCTTCCACAGTGCAGGGGCAGGATGGGAAAACTAGGTTCAGTCTCAAATACCTCTGGGCTGGCCCTATGCATGAAGTCCTTGCTCTCAAGGGGCTGCCATTTAGTTGGGGAGACAGACCAGGAATATCACTAGGGGAAACAGGTAGAAAGTGCTTAAGAGTTCTGGGAGCTTGGTGCAAGGAAAGGAGAGACCACATAGGAATAACAGAAGGACTCCTGGAAACTGAAAATCAATGCTGGTAGTGGTGGTACGTACCTATAATCTCAGCACTCAGGAGGCTGAGGCAGGAGCATCACAAGTTCCAGGCCAGACTAGGCTACATATTAAGACCCTGTTTCAAAAAGACTAAACATAACAAAAACAGAAACAAGGTGTTTATACCACTCCTATTTTCACAGAACAAAATTAAGATATTTGTCAAGTTTTCAAACATATATACGCACATATTCATATCTATACACATATGTATGTAACAACTTTAGGGAGCACCTACAGTCTTCTTCCCTTTTCCCAGTGGCAATCACCATTACGACTTTACTTAAGTACCACTCACAACTCTCCCTTGAATTTTATAATTCAAAAGAGTCAAGAATTGTTGTGCATTTATATTCTGATGAATGTAAGTGGCATAATACTGTATATACGACTGCTTGCTTTCTCCTCTGCCCCTGGTTTCCAGGGCTCTACTCTTGTTGAAACACATTGTCATGGCTCACAAATGTATGCATCCTATGGATTCACTACATTTATTTACCATCCAGAGATGGGGTTTCCAGAGATGGTTGTAATCAGGGTTGGGGGGAGGGACACTGGAAAAGTAGGAGGTTGGCCAAGGTCCAGCCAAATGCAGGAAATGGGGCAGGCCCATGCCCCAGGCCAGGAATCTTCAATGGCCACACTGAACACCAGGGAGTGGGGTGGGGGAGCAGGTCCCCAACTCAATAATTTCACTTATCCTCTCTTGGCATCCTCCCTGGAGAGGACTCTGTTGCTCTTTCCATTAATTGTCTCATTAATGACCCAATGAAGTCAAGTACCCATTGTTTTCCAGGCCTGGGGCAGCCTCCCTGACTTTCTCTCCTGGGGGATTTGTAAGCGTCTTTCCTTCCCTATTTTCCTTTGGCAGGCCTCCTTATCTAGTCCCTGCAGCCTGCCCAAGCTAGTGTGTGCTTCCTCCACCCACATCCAGGACCCAGGCTGCACAAAGCCCTGCCCCACCCTCTCACTGCCTCTCCCCTTCTGGAACTGCCCCACTCGTTATGTCTCTTTCCATTTTTCTTCCTTTTTAAAAAATACTGTCTCTCTGGCTCCCCACTGAACTTCTGTCACCTTCTATCTTTGTGTGTACTTCCCATTGTCTCAGTGTAGGTTGTCTCTCTCAGTCTCTGTACAGATGATACTGTCTCTTGTTAATATCTCACTGTCACCATCTGTCACTGGGACTGTCTCCACCTCTCTTGCTGGGTGTCTCTACCTGGAGATCCATGCTGTGTGCACACATTTGTGTGCACATTTTTGTATTTGTCTCTGATTCTCTTTCCGTCTCCCTCCATCCATATATACATCTCTGTCTCCCTCTCTCTCTGACTCACCTCCTCCTCACTGTCCCTCCTCCCTTGTGGGTCTCTGAACCCTCCTGATTGACTATTGTCCTATTTCCAACCCCTGCCTCATCACCACCGCTTGCTCACCCACGGGGTCCCTGACACCCACATGGGTCAAACCGCCTCTCTTCATTCCTTCTCTCCCTAGTTACAGCTCCAGCTTCCCTTGGATGACAGCCTCTGGGACATCAGAGCCAGGAGTAGGTGTGAGATCTAAAGCTTCCAGACTTTGAGATTCATGCACCTGTAAAGTTAAAGAAAGGGAGGGGGGCAACAGAAGGTAACCAAGTCTTCATCTTTCGAAATGGGGTTCTTTCTAGACTTGCCAACTTATTTCATATATAATATCAAAAACAAAAGCAGAAAGAACAAAATATAGAAACACAGTCCTTAATTTTAAATTAGTCCATAATTTAATTTTATGAAAACATTTGCTACATTGCCTTTATTTTGTCCCAAATGGGTGAAGAAGTCACAGATCAGCACAGGTTCTCTGACCTGGCTGGAAACCACTCAACTTATTAAATCCCTTTTCTGATACCCATAGAAAAATCAAATGACCTTTACTGACAGGAGAAAGAGCAAAACTGGAGTAGGACCTGGAAACTCTCTTTCCAGCCCCACTGGCCTTTTAGTAGGCTGATGCCTCGTAGGCCTGGGCATCAGCACCAGATTCTCTCGATTCCAAATAGCCTTGTGTGTCTTTGACCAAGTAACGTAACCTCTCTGCTTCCATCCTCATTTGTAATATATGCAAAATAACAACCAGCTCCTAGAGATGCCCAGCACATAGTCAAGGGTCAATACTTCACCACTCTCACTGTCTGGAAGGAGGGAGTTACGGAGTATTACTTTGAAAGAAGGGAGATATTTTGGTTGAAAGCCTGGACTCAACCTGATATGGACTTGTGCCCACATCAGAGGAAGAATCAACATGGGGAAGAGCTGCCGTCTTGGGAAACCTTAGGAGTGCCGGATCCCAGCAAGGCTGCCTTGGATGCAGGGGCCAAGGTAAGCATGGGATTAGGGCAGAGACCTTTTCCCTGTCTCTGTAAGTTTCCCTTGCCAGAAACCAACACTCTTGTCAGGGACACTGACTCCAGCAAAGTGAAGCTCCTTCAAGCAGTGTGGCCAGCCTCAGAGGCCTCGAGGACCTTGAGTGGAGAGGATAGTAGATGCTATTGTTGTGGACACATGTGACATCATCAGGAGATGCCAAGAAACCCTGGAGGCAGACAGTGGATGAGGCTGAAGGTCCTGAGAGAGGAGGCAGGAAGAATTAGAGAGACTTTGGGTAATTGAAGGAAGTATGACTTCATTTGTATTCATGGCCTAGCAAACCCACTACCATCAGGCAAATGTTTCCTCCAACCCTGCTCTGAACCATCCATGGTCAGCAGGTGCAATTGCCTTGGAGGTAGGGCCACATGCTCAGAGCCCCTGGTGAGGCCTGGCTGGGACATTTGCCGTATTTCCTGGTGAGCACCACCCAAGGATGTGAGTCCAAAAGTGAGTGACTTCAAAGATAAAACTAACAGGATCAGGTGACTGAATTTGGAGTGTGAAAAAGGGAGGCAAACAATGTTCTGGTTTGGTACCTAGGTGGGTGATGATGCCTATCCCTGAGGAAGATACACAGAAGGGTAGGCAGGCTATATTCCAGGCAGAACCAGTTGAGAATGAGGTGCACAAGGAATATCCAAGTGGCAGTGCTCAAGAGGAACAGGAGCAACACCGGAACTAAGAGGGATTTGAAGTCTAGGTAAGTTTTGCCTATTGGGTGGGGCAGGGACTTAAGGCAGAACACACTAGGCTAAGAAAACAGCCTAAGAAAAGGCTTGGAGGTGGGAGAAAGAAGCACGTAATTTCAGAAAAGCTAGTAATTCCATTTACCTAAGTACTAGTTGTTCAAGGTAGTTGTGAGAGCTACAGCACAAAGAGACACATTAGGTCTAGATTGCAGAAGTCACTGAATGTTAGGTTAAAGAGACATAATTTGGCAGGTAATAGGAAGCCACTGAAGGTTTCTGAGCAGAAAAGAAACATGGCGCCAGGCACCAGTGACTCATGTCTGTAATCCTAGCGACTAAGGAGGCACAGATCAAGAGGATCTCAGTTCGAAGACAGCCTGGGCAAATACTTCCACAAGATCCTAGTTCCACAAGATCCTACCTCGAAAACCCTTCACAAAAATAGGGCTGGTGGAGTAGCTCAAGGTGAAGGCCCCAGTACTGCAAGAAAAGAAAAGAAACATGGCAAGGGAAATGTTTCAGGTTGATCTAACTAGACAGCACAGGACAAACCAAACACAGATGAGAACAGCATGAGACAACATAAGACATGGATTATCACTTATTTGTTTATTCAACAAAAACTATACTTCCTCTATGCAGAAGCAACCCTTTCTCAATCTTATCTCTAGTCACTAATCTGCAGAGGGCCGATGCACCAAATCACTTGGTGTGAATAAAATTAATGGCTGGCTTCTTGAAACATACCAGTATTATCAAATAAATGAAAATGAGTTTAAGTTACCTATTAAATGGAGTTTTGTATATACGCACACAAGAATATTGTTTAGCCTTAGGGGAAAAAAAAAGAAATTCTCACACATGCTGCAACATAGATGTACTTGAGGACATTATGCTAACTAAAATAAGCCAATCACAAAAGACAAACACTATAGGAGTCCACTCCCATGAGGTTCCTATAGCAGTAAAATTCAGAGACAGAAAGTAGAATGGTGGCTCCAGAAGCTAGAAAGCGGGAAATAGTAAACTAGCATTTGTTTAATAGATATAGAGTTTCAGTTTTACAAGGTAAAAAGAGCTGTGGAGATTTGCAGTACAACAATGCATATGTACTTAACATTACTGAACTGCACACTTAAAAATGATTATAATGATTAATATTATGTTATTAGTATTTTACAATTAAAAATAAAAGTAAGAGGAGGTTCAGAATGGTTCATGGAATAAAACCCAAATCTTAAAAAAAGAAACACATCCAAAACATAGTGACTCTGAAAGGCTAAAAATAAAGAAATAGGGAAATATATACTAAGTAAATGCAAACAAAATTCATGCAAGGCTATGATCTGGACATATAGCGAGACAGAATTCAGACTCAAAGCATTGCATGAAATGAAGATGTACGGATCTGGAGTCCAGATATGCATCAAACAACTTAGGGGCAGTTCCATGCAGCAGAAGCTACAGGAAATGCAAGAAGAAACAGAAATGGCTAGGAGAGACTGAAACACACTACTTTCAGTTCAATTCTCATCAAAGGGTAAAAAACTAAGAATATAGAAAATCTAAACAACAACCTACAAGCTACGCTTCCTGTATGTATATCAAATATGCCCCCCATAGAGAATAACTCCTTTTGAGCATACATCATGAAAGCTGACCACATATTAAGACAAAGACAGCCTCAATCAGTGACTTGAGGTTATAAGCTTTATGATCAGATTTTCCTAACTGCAAAGTCTCAATCATTTCAATGAGATAAAGGATAAAGCAGCATGCCAAGCAAATATTACTAATGCTGTAAATGCTATTATTGTTATCATTATTTACTGCTTCATCATCATTTTATTCTCACTGGTCCTCTGATGCATTTTAGAGACATCTGCCAATTATGTGGTGTATGAATCTGTAATCTTCCGGAACTGTTTCCAGAACACCTACTTCTTCAGTGTTTACCATGTGCTACAGAGTATGCTGTTTTCCTGTACTCTTTTATTAGAAACAGTTAAAAAATTTAAAAAATATAGCAAAACTCAGCTTCTCTAACATCACTATCCAGGCCCAGTACAGTAATACACGTTTTGAGGGAGTCCTCAATGAAGCATACTGGTAAGGACCTACTTCAAAGTTAGATCTGGGCTTGAAACTTCACTCTAGTGCCTACTAGGCTGTGTGACAGTGGGCAAGTTAAATATACTTTCTGAACTTCAATTATCTCATATTCAAACATAGATAATAGTGGTACCTATATTAATTAGGGTTAAGTTTAAATGCAATAACACCTATAAAAAGTCTAGCATGGTACTTAGCTCACAATAGAAGAAACATTCTCCAGTGTACTTATTAAAAAATGTCACAGTGGTTAAGAGCAAGATCAGTAATGGTAGATCCATATCATGAAATGCTACATTGCAGAAAAAGAATGAATTATACCTGGATAATTCATGGCACATGTGGATGGCCAGAGTTGGTTTTGGGTTTAAAAAAGGGCAAACTTCAGAATATTAACAGAGCAGTACCCTTCCCTCCTTAAAAAAATTTATATATGAACAGAGAAAGAAGGCTATACACCTAATTTTAAAGGAGGATAAGACTGAAAATTGTAAAGTTTCATTTTTAACTTGTTATATGTTTCTTTTGTATATCCAAAACACATACACAAGAAAAAGAGGCAAAAAAGTTCATGGACTCTTGAGCTATTGAGCTGAACAGAGGAGGTGCTTAATTCTTCTGGCAAGTGTGAGAATTTCCATATCCAGCTTTTCTTTGGAAAGGCTGCAGGAGGGAAAGGGGGATGAATTGCTCCCACGAGCTCGTTACTCAGCACATCCAAACAGGTAGTCTCCTTCTCATCCCTGCCACCACTGCAGCCCTGACACACGGAGAAGCAGAGAACGCTTTGATAAATGTCAACTGAAATAGAAGCAATCAGCTGAAAGCCATTTGCTGAGCTGTCTGACTGCCCTGGGCTCGAGGTTTTCCTTTATTCATTTATCATGATATACAGCTTTGGCCAACATACACACAGGAGAGAAATTGTTGACATGTGGAACCCAAGTACAGAAAATCTTTCATTCCCCCCACCCCCGTCTGTTCACTGAATAAGTTTTTGTTTATTTAAAGACTACAGAGGATTTGGCTGTTAAGAACCAAATGCCTTTGGAGTGGAGTTACAACATAATTTATCATTTCCTCTGTTTATTAAAAAATCCTGCATCTTTGAAAAGCACATTTGCAGTGAGTGGGGGATTTCAGCCACTCACGAAAAGACTGTTTGCAGAGCCCCACCATGTGTCTTGCCCCAAAAGGGTCTCCTTCACTGCTCTTTTTGTCCGTTCTCCCTTGGCTGACTTCTGATTGATCATGTGATGACCACTAAAGGCTGGGGAATGGACTTTGAGGACAGGTAAGGCAGGAAAATAGTTAGTTCCTTTCATCCTTAACCTTGAATCCTCACTGGCTATTTCACAGTAGGTTCCACTGGCATCAGCAAAGGATGCAATGCAATGCTATTACCTTAGCACAGGACAAAATCTGGAGAGAGTCAAATGTAAAGAGAAGTCAGATGCTGCTTTAAAGGAACTCAGCCAGGCCCCACTGCCACCAAAGTGATTTCATTCTGAAAGGAGACTGAAACAAACATCTCCACCCAAGACACTACAGATAGCCTTTTAGTTCAGTGTGTAAGGCACCACTCAATGACACAAGCCACACCTTACCCATTTTGTATTGTTAGCACATAGCACAGTGCCTGACAAATAAGCTCCCTAAATGCCTGCAAGGCAGCAGGAGGCAGTGGCTCCTTCTGAGTTGGTAAGCACTTCAAGGTGCTGGGGAAGATGGTGGCCTGGAGTCAGGCCATGAAACTGAGAGTAATTCTCCCATTACAGCTTGCGCTGTGCCTCTCCTCATCTGTGTCCTTTAAAATAGGCCAATAAATGTGCTTCTTTGAATTCTGTGAGCTAGCCTAGAAAATTCACTGAATCAAAAGAGGGATCTGAGGATCAAGTTTATAGTGGTCAGTCAGAAGTATGGATGACCCAGACTTGTGACTGGCATGGGAAGTGGGGGCAGTTTTGATGGGCTGAGCCCTCAACCTGTGGGAACCAACATTACCTCCAGGTAGACAGCATCAGAATCGAATGTGAATCCCAGTGTTGCTATTTGCTAGCTATGGGCAAAAACTTCCCCTCTTTGTAAAGTAAGGACAATGAATAATTAAAAGCCTCTACCACTTCCCAGCTTTGTTACATTGGGGAGGATTTGTTACCTAATATTGTTAACCCTCAGTTTTCCTATTTGTAAATGGAGATAATATACATCTGTCGTATTTACTGTGAGGATTACAAGTAACACCTAGAAATGAATTTAGCTCATGATGGAAGGATGGAAAGAAGAGAGGGAGGGAGGAAAATTGAGTGGGAGAGGGAGAAGAAACCCATTCCCTGAAGATGGGTCACAATAAGCCACTTGTCTATTAACAACAGACAGGTCCTAAGGGAAAGGAATCTCATTACCATACTAAGTAAATGTTGAGGACAAGGACAAGAGTGGAAAATTACAGAAGGAGTGTTAAGACCAGAAAGAGAAGAAAAGTAGCCAGTATTTGTTAAGCACCTACTATGTGTGATTTATTCACAACACAAACGTATCAATGCCTATAAATGTTACTCTGTATTATTCTCTTCAGGTTATTATACCAAGATACAGACTAGCAAAAAGAATAATTAAGGCTCAAATAAAAGCAGTAGATTGGGCTATGAAAGCCCAAAAGGAGGGACCCTGGTTGGGGGTACAGGAAGACTTCCCAGAGAACATGACAGCTAAGATGAAAAGGACTAAACAGTGAGGAGCAGAGAGTGGTCCAGGGAGAGAACAGAGTATGCATGAAGATGACCCAGAGGCAAAAATACTGCTCCTGGTTGCTTTATATGCAACTTCTTAGAGATCATCCATCCAAACCAACAATATCCTTTCCTTTGTGGTTATTATTTTTTCAATTTATTTAGATTTTATGGTTTGGTGAAAATAGGCTACCAGCAAAGGAGTGCAGTCAGAGTGAAGGCTCACATCAGTCTGAGCAGAATTTAAAATAAAGAACAGGGCCTGATTCACTGAAAAGGAGGCGCCTAAGATGAGGCACTAAGCTTGCCAACGGTCCCAGTCTGTGGTTACATCGCGGACAAGGTAACTGCCCAAGTAAAGATCCTCTGCCAGCAGCAGATATTCTATAGGGACCACCCATATCAGAAGGCTCAGAGAAGAATGGAGCAGGCAGGATGGGGTGGAATGGGTGGGATGGGGATGGAGAACAAACAAATCTGAGTATCCCACTAGAAGGCTTGGCCTCCCATGGATTGACAGCACAATGACAGCCTTCTATGTAGATGGAAGGGGCTGAAGGAGGTGCCAATCTGACACGTATGGGATCCACCAGAAACTAGACTGTGGCGTGTGGATAGGCCTGCTGGTTTTTCATCCAAGGAGTTCTTTGGTCTTCACTACCAGATATCTGTCCAGTTCGGCAACTGTGTCGTCGGCCATTTGGCTGATCTGCAAGAACACAAAAGAAGGTAGCTTGATAAGTGGGGCTGCAAAAAGGTAGAGGAACAGATGTTCTAGAACTGTGAAAAGGTTATTGAGGAAATAATAATAGTGACAAAAGTTTACATTGAGTTCCAGCTAAGCACTGTACTAAGAAATTTATACATACATTCTTACTGATTCCTAACAACCATCCCACGAGATAAGATACTATTATTACCCCATTTTACAGATAAGAAAACTGAGACAGATCACTTATTCAGAATATACAGCTAGAAAGGTACAACGCCAAAATTTAATCCATGGTAGTCTGATTCTACAAGCCAACATTTCTAACTATTATACAATACAGAGAAGCCACACTGTCTCTTAAAGAGCCTCCAGAATGTCCTATGCCTCAGCTACCCTGCTACATAGAAAGCCTTCTGATGAAGTAACGAAACAAATGCAAAGATCCCAAGAGTTAAGCAGGAAAAAAAAAGTCTTGAAAAAAGATTAAGTACATCTGGTTAACAAACATGGAAAATTCAATACAAATTGAAGAAATGCAAATTAAAACAAGAAACAGTTCAGCTATCATAGTTAGCAAATTTTGATGTTGTGGCTTTTAATTATGATCACTAATGCCAACAAATGATAGTGAAATGGTTTCACTCATATATCGCTGACAGGAATTCAAATTGATGTAAACGTTCATCTAGTTAACCCCCAAATATCTCAAATGCGGAAATTATCACATGAACAGGACCTGAAATTTTTTTTCTTAAGATCTATGTGTAAAGATATTTATCCTGGCTTTCTTTTCAATAATGAAAAATCAAAAAATCTGAAGTTACAGAATAGGGAAGCAGTTGAATACATATAGTCACTAAAATGGTTAAGACTGTATTTCTTATGGAAAAGAATATGTCATATGAATGACATTCCAGTATCTACTCCTGAAATGTCTGAGTGTTTTATAATAAGCATGCATTACATTTGTAATCAGAAAAAAATGTTCAAAAATGGTTATTAATAGTGTTTCAACATACTTATAATATCATGGAAGAAGTGAGATTCAAAATTCTGTTTATATATCTGTAAGAGAAAAGCTCTATAAAATATGTAAATTAAAAATTGTGTATTTTTAAAAAACTAGAAAGAAATTTGCCAAAATATTAAGTGTATCTTTTAGTTATAGGAAGATACATAATGTATTATTCATGTCTATATCATCACATCCTGCTTAGAACACAACATGTATCAAGGTCTCAGAAAATTTTCTGTGCTTTTCTGTATTTTCCAAATTTTCTGCAATAAGCATACACACCCTTCTAAGAATGAGAAAACCAGAATAACATTTATTAGATGCTGTAGCCTCCCTCCCACATCTAAATGGGGATAAAGGCAGGAGGCTTGGAAGATGGCAACGTGGTACCCCAGGATCTATGTGCTCAGCAGCATGGCAGCTGCTTGACATCTTTATTTGCCAACCACAGGCCTTGGTCAGAAATTGGTAACTAAATGTACTGAAAAGAGCAGAAACTAAAAAATATATGCAGCAATTGGTCCCAGGCAGGGAGGCGGCCAGGCTCTCCCCACAGCAACAGCTGCACATTTTTCAGATGGAAAAGCAAAGCTACTGAGGCTGCCAGATACTCTGCAAGAGTGACTGGACACAGAATGGCAGCTTAGTCCCCCTCACTGCATCAGCCACAAGCCTTTCAGATGCTCTGACCCTGTAGATGCCTTGCATGAGGTGGAGAGCAGTTCCCAGCAGCACATCAGCACCTACAGGATGGCAGTCTGGGACAGCCAAGAACAAGGGCTGCAAGCCTCCTCTGGAAAAAATGGCAGGCACCGAGGGTAGTTTGGGCACAAGGATGGGTATGAGAGGAGGGACAGTACCCCTGGTAATAATTTGATAATGTGGGATGACAAGGTACAAGTCATTTTTTCTACTCCAAGTCTCAGTTTCCTCATCAATCAAATGAGGCTTGCCGGTCCCCTTCTCAAAAAAAAGTTGTGAGGGTTAAGCAAAACCATGAATATACAAGAAAGTTTTAAACTGGTTATTTGCTACCCAAATGTTGGTTGTGTTACTATGATTTTTCTATCATTTCCTGACTCCTTTTCAAATTATCCAATCAATGAAAATATTTACCAACTTTTTATCATAAGTACAAAGTGCCCTCAAGAACAGTCTATCTGTAGCTTCATCTTTTCAATCTTTATTGGACTTCCTAAAATACACCAACAAAACTCTCACTTGCTGAGTACTTACTATATGCCAGACACTGGGTTAACATTTTACATGCGTTACTACACATAATCCTCACAACATATGAAATACTATCGTCCCCTTTTGGCATAATATGAACGTTATTTCACCTGCCTGTTGCATAAAAGTTTCTGCTGTGCAGAAGTGTTTTGTCCTCTGTTACTTCATTCAAACACAACCACCTCACGTAACCCCCATAAATCAAGAGGAACAGGTAGTATACCCTCTCTAGAGAGGAGGAAACCAGGGCACGGAATGTTAACTGCTCTACCCACAATCACATAAAAAGTCAGTGGTGTGGTTGAGCCAAAAACTCACCCACCTCCCAATGACAGGTTTGATGCTCCTATTCCCTTTTGGTGGCTCATAGCACATGGCCTATTCCTTCTTCATTCCAGCCAGGCCATATAAGAATCACTAAGAGTCACGAAGCTGGGGAGAGGAGCGGTCATTTCTAAGTGTGTTGAGCCTCTCAGTCCTCACATCAAACCCACGGGACAAGCACTATTCCCACTTCACAGATGAGCTCAGAGATGCTCGGAAAAGTGAAGCCATTTGCTGACCTTCACAGCTGAGAAGTAAGAGCTAGAATTTTATCCAGGTCTGACTAACTCCAAAGCAAGCACCCTTTCCAGTACCATGAGCTGCTGTATAAAGATTATAACATCAACATCACTACCATAATCATTGTTATCATCACATTTGAGCTTTACTAGTTCAGCAAAATGAAAGGAAAGGATAGTGAAGTGGGTGCCTAGAGCACAGACCTACATATAAGCCATCATCCCTGAGACTGGCTCGGGACACCACTGCCTCACCTAGTCCAGCCTCCCTGCCTTGCCTGTCTGCCAGAAACCGTCCTATCCATCCACCCATCTACCCCCCACCGCTGCAGCCCCACTAGCACCCAGCTTCACTCATTTCAGAGCAGCTCTGTTTCTTGGAGAAAGGCTGCAGTGAAAGGATCTTGGCCAGAGTTACTGGAGGCTTCTGCCAAGTGCTTTAATGTTCAGCAGGCCCATTTATAGTAAACTAAAGTGAAGGTGAAACAGCAGGCTGGCAGATGTCAGAGTCCTGAGCGTGAAGATCCTGGTCCTCCTTCAACAGAGCTGGCCTGGGCTGGGGGATGGGAAGTTCAGAGGGGTTGAGAGAGTTTGGGGTCAGATACAATGGCTGAGATAGAACCTAAAACTGAATCATTTTGCTCTTACATACCAAAGATGAAAGAAACATTGTTATAATAAAGTTTTAAAGAATCTGGCCTCAAAAGAATCCTGGACAATGTTTTTAAAAGGAGAAAAAATTTCACAAAAAATAAAAGTCATTTATAATGCCATTACCTGAAGTGACTGCCTTTAATATCTTGAAACATATAAACTACCAACTATTTTATGTCTATGTGGCTTTTCTTTATAAAAATGAAATCGTAATACTGTTGTATGACATACCATTTTATTTATTTATTTATTTGTGGTACTGGGTGTTAAACCCAGGGTCTTGTACAAGCTACGCAAGGGCTCTCTACCACTTGAGCCAGGCCCCCAACCCTCATGTTTGTATTTTGTTTGAGAGATAAGGGTCTCACTAACTTTGCCAGGGCTGACCTCAAACTCACAATCCTCCTGCCTCAATTTCCCAAGTAGCTGGGATTACAGACATATGCCACCATGCCCGGATATAACCAATCATATTTAAAAAAATAATAATAAATTCTAAAAAATTTCCACATCTATAAAATATTCTTATAACTGTCATTCTGTATAGAACACAGAGAGAGAATATAAAACAATCATTTTCCCACTGTTAGAAATTTAGACAGTTCCACTTTTCTGTTCTTATACATAATATATTAATGAATAGCCTTGTAGACAAAATTTCTTTTTTTTTTCTTTTGGCAGAATTGGGGTTTGACTCAGGGCTTCACACCTGCTAGGCAGGTGCTCTACCACTTGAGTCACTCAGCCAGCCCTGTTTTGTCAAGGATTTTCGGAGAGAGGGTCTTGCGAACTATTTGTCCTGGATGACTTCGAACCGTGATCCTCCTGATCTCTGTCTCCTGAGTAGCTGGGATTACAGGCTTAAGCCACCAACTCCCGGTCTGACAATTTCTTTTGGGTAAATTTCTAAGTTACTGAATCAAAAACATATGGATTTTGGCATACACTGTCATACTGCCCTCCAGAAAGGTTATATGGATTTATATATAAAAAACTTAATTTACTCTGTAGAGTGTGGAAATAAAAGCAATGCTTTCAGGACAATTAATATTTTAAGCTCAGATTAAAATTTTTCAGTTCAAGTGTCAGGTTGCAGAAAAGTTAAAATTTAAAAAATTTATACACATTCTAAAAACCCTAAATGATTTAGTCAGTAAGGCACTAAGAACCTTAAAATATGCACTTCGATGTCCAATAATTCCACACTTGGGATGCTCTATCCTAAGTAAATACAAGTATTTATAATGAAGATGTTCACTGCAACCCTACTTAAAATATAAACAAATTTTAAACAAAATGTCAAAAAGAAGAGCTTCTTATGGGTATAACCACAAGACCAACTATTTAGCAGCCATTAGAAATGACCAGTGATAAGGCCCAGTGTAGTGGTATGCACCTATAATCCCGGCTATTCAGCAGGCAGAGGTAGGAGGACTGAGATCCCAGGCAAAAGCATGAAACCTTATCTGAAAAATAAACTAAAGCAAAAGAACTGGAGGCATGGTTCAAGTGGTAGAGCACTTGCCTAGCAAGCACAAGGCCCTGAGTTCAAACCCCAGTACAAAAAACAAAACTAAACAAAAGAACACCCAGAAATGGCTATCCACAAAAAGTTTTTCAAGAATGAGAAAATGGTAATGCCTTTAATGCCAAATGGAAAATTAAACCTGGATGCAAAATATATATATTTAATCATATTTAAAATTATGGAGGGTTAAAACAAAGAACTACTCCAAAATATTAACAGTAACAGCCTCTGCAATATGATTTTATGGGATGATTTTTTTCCCACTTTTTAAGAAAGTCTTCTGTACTCCACATTTTCTATAATAAGAATATATTACCTTGATAATCAGGAACAAAAGTAAACACATTTTTAAAAAACTATTGATGAAGCAACAATCAGCCACAGCCTTGTTTATATAAAACAAAACAAAAACAAAAACCCACACCAGAAACTTGTTCAGAGCCTTCTGATAAAGAAAAATAACAAAATGAATTACATGTAAGGCTGTCTCTTGAATATTTTCCTATCCAAATTTTTCTCCATATGACAGTAAATGAAATTAATAACAACACAACAATAAGGTAAAAATTAACATTTAAATGACAGACTCTTTTAGGAAAGCTTTTACACTGAAAAGTATCTGTATTATGTACTATAAATATTACAGATATGGTAAAAGAGATAGCCTGAAGGACTGCACACTAAAATGCTAACAATGGTCATCTCTAAGTGATGATATTTCAATAACTTTCTTCACTCTTTTTTTTTAAACAACAAGCATGTATTTGTTTAGTATCAGAAAAACTAACAAATGCTATTTTCACTTTAAAAAACAGTAATAATCAACAATAAGAAGCAATGGAGGAAAAAATCAAATCTGAAGAGGATAGTAAAAAGTCAGTGTTAACAACTGAAGGTTCCAGGAAGGTCTGTGTCAAGCAACAGTGCTGGTTATCTGATTATTCTTCTTTTTCCAAGGAACTTGGACTCTGCTCCCTGAGGCAGAGTCCATAGGCTTCCCACTAGGAAGCAATGAAAAGGCCAAGTATCCACTGCAGATATAGAATGCCAGAGAATAGGGACAAGAAGCTAGACCAGTTGGGCAAGGGCCAGGACCGTCTATGTGAGGCCTGATCTGTACTCAGAAAAGGCGGCCAGCCCGATCTATGAACATCCTCTTTGAGCTGGTGCAGGGAAAGAGAAAGGCAAAAAAGAAGAGGAGCTTTGATGGTTTAGGTGTCAGGTATTCTAATGGTGCAGCCAAGGAACCTCTTGAATGTAGAAATTACCAATCCTTTTTATTTGAAAAAAGGACCCTCAAAGAGTTCAGTAACTTCCCCAAGGTCACAGGACATCAGGTGCAGAACAATCCTTTTCTTTTTTTGCATTATAAGGTTTCTAGGCTCTTATCTTCTATGTGTGCCTTTGCAAGATTATCTGTAGAGCTTTTTATAAATACTCATTCCTACACAGATGTACTGAATCAGAAAATGCAAGAGCAAGGCCCAGGAATGCATCATAAATTTCCTCAGGTGATTTTTGTGGCTGACCTACACACTAGTATGCTAACTGCCAGTCCAAAAGGGGAGTAGCTAATCACTTTATGGCCTCCTCCAGGGGTCCCCCTAACAGCTCTCTGCTCTCTTAGCTCTCTGGCTTCTTCCCTCTTCACTCCTCATCCTGCCCACACTCCTGTTCAACCTTCTTAACATGATGCTTATATTGTGCACAAGTAGGTTTTAGAGTCTATCAAGCCCTTTACATGACATGAAACATTACTAATTCTATCTCCTAAATATTGGTAAATTCACCTCCTATCTCAGTCCCCCACCCCTACCATTCAGGCTCAGGTAATCATCACTTTTTTTTTTAACACAATAATTTATTGCTTTTCCTTCCAAAGCTTTGTGAATTTACAAAAAAGTGGATCAAGGTGTACAAACTACTTAGTTCATACTAAGAATTCAAGAGATGTGGCCCTGCCCTGCCTTGCCACTGGCAGGGACTGACATGCAGTACCAGTGCCCCAAATTTGGCATTACTACCTTCAGAGCACTGTGGTCCTGACATACTATCATGACATGCTTAGGTCATTAGTCAAGTCAATGGAATGGGTACAGAGGTTTTTTAGTTTGGGTTTTTTTTTTTTTTTTGCCTTCCTGCTGTAAAAATGAAATTTTCAGTTCACTTTTGAAAAATAAACTGGTCAATAAATTCATTTTATCCTGCTTCTACTTTACTCAAAGCTTCATAGTCAACCTGGCACCTTTGTAGCTGCATTTTCTTTTCTGCTATTAGTGCTTAAAGTTGCTGTTGTTGGGTTTCTCTCCGCTTTGCAATGGATTTGAGCAAATTCTGAACACCAACGGCCTTCATCTTCTCATTTTCTGCTTCTTTTACAAGTTGGTCAACAAGTTCAATTAGACTACCAACTATTTTCTGAAATGGGCCAATTTTGTCCAAAAAAGTCCTTGCACTCTTCCTTGAGCTCTATGGTCTGCTGGGTAACCTCTGGGACCAACATCCACAAAGTGTTCAGCTCATCTAAGTGCAGCTCTGCTTCCCCAAGGATATCCTTGGCCATAGCTGCAACCCAGTAACGGCAGCGCACCCAGGCTGCTATATATAGACAGCTTCTCGTTCAAGTTAACTGCAGTGGGTGCGTGACCCACCAGCACCAGCCACTGTCATGGCTACACAACCTGTTTACCCAATCAATCATCACTTTCTGGCTGGCTTTCTGCAACAGTTTCCTTGCCTCCAGTTGGTCTTGTCCCTGACAATGTTTTATTCCTGGCCACCACAGTCATCTTTCATAAATACAGATGTGATTTCCCCACTGTCTGAAAAAGAAAAATCTTTCCAGAGAGTTACTATATGAAAATCTCCTGGGAAGCTTTAAAAATTCCAGGGCCCCACTCCAGATTCCCTGACTTAATCTCTGCAGTACAGTAACAAATGCATGCATTTTTATAAGGTGGCAGATTATTGTTCAATAAATATTCACTCCCTTTCTCAGATCTCCATGAATAAATATACTTCCTTATAACTATGATTTTGGGCTTAGCCCATGTGACTAGCTTTGACTAATGGGATGTGACAAGAGCAGGTGCTTATGATGTGCTTCAGTGGCTGGACTTAAGGTCCTGGCATCTGCTGTTGCCAAGAAAAGATGCCCTGGGAAACTTGTTGACTCTGAAAGATTGTGAGATATATAAAGCAGGCTTGAGCCCAATCCAAGATTTAGAGTTGAGCTCACTGAGAGCCCAGCCTAAAACAGTTACACCCCAGCTGGCCCAAGAAACAGGACAAGAAATAATGCTTTGAGATATGGCAAATCAACAAGTTTAGGGGTAGCTGGTTATGCACCGTTATTCTGGCCATAGGTGACTGATACAGATGCACAGCCAATGTGGGAACCTCTGAACCTGCTAACTCCTCCACCTGGTATATAAGGCCTTCCATGATCTGGTCACTGTCTTCTTTCCTCATTCCCTAGTCTCACTAGATTCAAGCCCCACTGATCTAAGAGAACAACATTCTTTTATATCAATATTCCTTTGTACATGCTGTTTACTTTCTCCCTCATTTTTCCCTCATTTCCCTCATTTCTGTCCTTTAGGACAGGCGTAAGTGCCACTACTCAACACACAGAGAACATAACTGCTTACTTTTCAGCAACAAGACGAATGAAAGGAGAACAATGGCAAGTGGGTTCTAAGATCCATCTGCTTGTGTTTGGATCCCATTTCTACTACTTATCAACAGAATGACTTAGGAACACTAGTGAACTTCTTTGAACCTCAGTTTCCTCACTACCTACCCACAGTTTTTGTTGTTGCTGTTGTTTTTTGTGCTGGGGATTGAACCCAGGGCCTTCTGTGTACTATACAAGTGCTCTACCACTGAGCTAAATCCCCATCCCCATCTTACATTTTGTAGTTATGAGGAAAAACTACTCAGAATGGAGCCTAGCACACAGTAAAAGGTCAATAGCATCTTATTTTCTTCTATGGATCTCTCCAAGGTCCAGCATGGGGCTAAATCCAGAAAAAAGACTTGGTTAATATTGACCATGTGAATGAAAAGACCAGAAGCACTCTGTTTTAACTGTCCTTGCTTCAGACACGAACAAATGATTCCTTGGGTCAGACACATAAACACTACAACTGTTGGCAATAGTACCTGTTTCTCTATGAGCCTAACAGTATCCTCCGAGGTCTTGTCCTTTGACTTCTTCAGCTTATTAATTGCGTCGGTGCGAACCCTCCGTAAAGAGTCTTTGGCCTTGTTGGTGTTCTGTTTGGCCAGTTTCACCAGCATTTCCCTGTGCTCCCTGGTTACTCTGATTTAAAAAATACAAAAAAAAAAAAAAGCAAAAGACAAACATTCAACAAAATCATTCTAGAATTAACATACAGCCAAGAATTTAACTGATTTGTCTGTCAACTCAGTAGTCTATAATTTTACTCTTTGTCAGATGATGATCTTTACATTCCTGACACATGTCCATGGGCATGCCAGTGTCAAGCATAACTAGCTGAGAAGAACCGGTAAGAGGACCACCTAAGAGCATGAGCAAAGGAATCTACATAGACCCAGTTCAAATCTGGACCACGCTGCTTATGAGATACATTCCTCTCCTCAGAGTTCCCATCTGTCTAATGGGGACCCAAGAGGTAGTGTGAAGACTAAATAAGATGATGTGTGTAAATTATTTAGCATTAACATAGGCACACTTTAAGTTACCTGTAAAAGGAATCAATTATTAATCATAATTAGCCTTTCTCTCTCACTAAAGAAGGCAATGTAAATGAGTGATTATGTCATAGAATCATAGAAATGGCACTATCTCTAACTCTCTAAATCACCCCAAACAAGTAGCAACCTTCGTAATCTTAATTATTGTAAGAAATTACTTACAAATCACCTTGAAAGTGACCAAGACATAACACCAGTCCCAATGGAAACAAACCACTATAGCAGTTAACTTCCAAACATAAGACGTTTATTCCACAACTTAGAATCAGCCCTGGCATCCAAAAAATGGACAAATACATAAAGAAATTATCGTATATATTCATAATGTAGTAGCATTCAGTCATAAAGAGGAATGAAATTAGGGCATTAGCAAGAAAATGAATGGAACTGAAAATCATAATGTTAAGCAAAATAAGCCAGATTCAGAAAGAAAAATATCACGTTTTCTCTCATATGTGGAATCTAGATGTAAAAAAGAACAAAAAACATAAATGTATAAAGGGGATTATTTGGGCAGGGGATCAGTGAGGGAGCAAATATAACCAAAGTACATTATATAACATGTTCAAAAGTGTCAGAGTGAAATCCATTATTTTGTTTTGTTTTGTTTTTTTGTAGTACTGGGATTAGAACTCAGGGCCTGCGCTTGCTAGGCAGGTACTCTACCACTTGAACCATGCCCCCAGCCTGTAAAAAAATTTTAAAAGTACACGAGACTGACGCATGTTTTAAATGGCTAATAAACATCAGTTGTTTAACTATTAGCATTCTCATCATAACAGTGAGCACACTGAAGGCTGACTATAACACACTTGGATAGGCATTTTTTACAATAATCTTCACAACCACTACATGAAGAAGCTATCATTATTTTACATTTAATAATCATGACAACCAAGAAAATCAGACCAGCAGGTTTGTTCTGCCTTCTTCTCTCATCTTGTACAAACTGAGTGCCTACTCCCTATCAAAACCGAAGTTAGACAAAGAAATGCTGCAGCAGGCAAGTGAGGAAGGACAAGGTGCCACAGGAGAGAAGCAGCTCAGCTAACTCACCAGGAACTGTCTGAGTTTAGAGAGCAGGCAGTAAGAGATTTTTCTGGAGAAATGATATCTAACTGTGATAGTCACCAGGTCTGTTCACCAGTGTTCTGGTTCTTATCCTCCCAGGCACATAGTAGGAATGCATATTCCAACTACTTCTGAAGTTGGCTGTACAGCTTATTCTAGCCAATAAAATGTGAGCAGAAATGATGGGTTTCACCTTAAGACAGAAGCTTTCAGAGACACTGTGTGCTCTGCCATATGTGTTTTCCTTGGCCACAGTACAAGTTGATAGAGTTCAGGTCTATCAGGATGACTATGATGATGACTAGCATCTAACATGCAGCAAATGCAAGAAATATACTTCTACCGCTATAAGCTATGGAAATTTAGGGATTGCTTGTTACTGCAACATAGCCCACCCTATCCTGACTAAAAAGTTCACTTGATCTGAAGAATTAAGTCTACATTGTCAGTACTGGCAGAGAAATGGGGATTTCCAGATGGAAGAAAAGCCATTTATAAAGGCTTTAAGATGCAAAGAAACTTTGCTTCATTTGCTAAACTGGCTGAGGCACAGATAACAAAGAAAGTATGACTGGGAAGCCTTATCCTGGAGGGTCTCATAAGATCATGAATCCTATTTTATAGGTGAAGAAAATAAGGCCCAAAGAAGTTTGGTATCTGATTCAAAGTCAAACCTAGTCAAGCTCAGGACGGCCTGTCTCAAAGCCATTGCTATTTTGGTTTTTTGGGGGGTTTTTTGTTTTTTGTTTTTTTTCAGTACTGTGGATCCAACCTAGAGCCTTGCCCATGCTAGTTAAGCACTCTATCACTGGACTACACCTCCAGCCAAAAAGCGATTGGTCTTAGTATAAGATTCCTCTATCCTGAAATGGACATCACTGGCATATACTTCCTAATCCTCAAATCGACATGGGTCTTGCTAAGTAAGTTCTGGGTACATGTTCGGTTTGGAACAGTGCCGAGCAGCTGCTGAGCATTTAGTAGCATCTAACTTACATTTTCTCTGATGACAAAAATAAATGAATAAATAAATAAAGGAAGTTTGAGGAAGGAAAAGCTCTGAAGACAAAGTGGACAGCTTTGTTATAAATAAATCCTTCTGAATTCAACTACTTGAAGAGATTCTCAAAATAAAAATGATCCTGATTACTACCATCAATAAGCACCTCTATAACCAGGTGAGTACTTCACTGACCTCACAAAACTCTTCACATTGAGTCTCATTTTCCAATGAGGAAATTGAGGTTCACAGATATTAAGTGACTTGCCCATGGGCTTGAGTGACAGAACTGGAACACAAATCCAAATCTTTCTGCTACTCCATGTTGCTAACTCCTTACAATCTATTTCAAATAAATCATGCACTTCTGTTCCCAAACAGAAAGCTTTTCAAAGTCAGTAATATGAATCTTCGAACTGAAAAGGACAAAATCACCATGTCAGGAGTTTAAGGATTTGGATCGGATCTTGTTACTTTTATGGTTTTTAATTCATTGAACAAAAATCATGCTGACATGTTTAGGTCCCTTTTTTGTTCTGCCAAAGCATATGTCAGTATAAGGAAGGAAAAGGAAAATTAAAACTTGATCCACTGATTCAAAAAACTTAATCCTGCTGAAATACTAGGAGGGACAGAAAATAAGTAAATCTAAGGCTGAAAGAAACCTCTTAAACTTCTCTGAAGAGATCTTATTGAAGTATTTCAATCTTGTATTTCATACATAATTTGAAATAGGTATCCTGCTGTTTAGAAACTCTTAATGAAGATTTTTATCTAACCAACTTTTCTTTTTATTACCTTGTTATATTTATATTTTAAATGGAAGAACAAAAAAACACAAACTATGACTCAAAAAACTATTAACAATAAAAGGCTGTAATAAAGAAAATGAAATCATTATATGCAACTTGCCTTATTAAAAAGTCTTATTTTATATTTATTGATTGATTGATTAGTTGATGGTTCTGAAGTTTGAACTCAGGGCCTCACACTTGCTAGGCAAGCACTCTACTACTATTTTGTATCTATCAATGTAAATGTGACATTACCATTCCACTAACACCAGTTTGTAAATGTAATGGTGTATGATTAGCACTGATATATTTCTGTTTAGCTGGATGTGGTGGTACACACCTGTAATCCCAGCACTAGGGAAGCTGAGGCAGGCAGATTCTGAGTTCAAGGCCAGCTTGAGCTACACAGTAAGTTTAAACTTGGGCTGCATAACAAGTTCAAGGCAAGCTTGGGCTACATAACAAGACCTGTCTCAATAAAATAAAATAAAATTTGTTTTAGGATTCAAATAGTCAGTCATCAGAAAGACATCAGGGGGTACTGGAAACAGAAGGGCTGAGAGGAAGAAGGGCAAATGTAAATACATACTGGTTCAAGGTGCTGACCTGAAAAGTATCAAAAGCTAATTAAGCTTTCTGAGCTTTAGTTCCTTATTTCTAAAATGAAGATAAAAAGATACCTTGCAGAACGACTGAATCAGATACAACAGATCTATACCAAAAAAGAGAGCAGCACATAGTAGCCTTGGGTAAATGACAGCATTTATGAATGTTTTAATCAAACACATTTAATTACTTCCTCATGAAACAATAAGGGCACATGTGTTTTAGGAAAGAAACATTATATTATGGAAATATTTTAACTCCTTTCCAGACCAGTGATTAGTATTTCTGATCATCTGCACCTCACACTCATGGGACTCCTGAGCATACTCAGATTTGTATTCCAGGCTTCTGAACTCAGCTGGTTGGTTCCCAGCCTCTACCCTAAGTTGGTGTGCATTTGCTTATTAAAGCTCTGGCTGAGGTGCTCTACAAAGGAGGCAGGTCTGGTCCAACTTTTCCAGATTCAGTCAACTGGTGGAAACAAACTTGTTAGCCACTGCTCAGAACAACTGTGACTGCTGCTAAGACCTTCTATGGGAGGAATATGCAGAATTCTAGCACAGGTCTTCTGCCCTGAGATTTGGAAAATGCCTAGAGAGGCATGGTAACTTGTCAGCTGCAGAAAAAAGGAAAAGGAATTTTGGAAAGAAGCACAGTAAGACAGAAAGCAAGGCTGGAAAGAGCACATCCCACATTCAGGTCAAATTTGTTCTACAGGTCTAGAGTTTTCAAGTCACAAAACCCTGAAATCATAATAAAAACAAAAACAAAAACAAGAAAATGAGGAAGAGATCCCATTTATAAAACAAACAAAAACAGACTACTCCAGTTGGGGGTGGGGGAAGGGTACTAGGGGAAGTGTAGCACTCTCTATATGGCAGGCTACAAAGTTCAGCTCCACCTCTACTCTGGGCCTGGCACTTATAGCTGAGTGACCTTAAACAAATTATTTAAACTCTCTGGGTCTTGATCTTCTCATCTGAAAACAGAAATTAAAAATAAACAAACAAGGAAAACAGAACTTCCATTTCAGAGTTACTGTGAGATTCACATGAAATAAAATATGGAAAGTAGCCAGCACCAAACCTTATAGAGAATAAGCACTCAGAAAAT